CCTGGTCCGGGAAGATCCCACATGCCGCGGAGCAACTAAGCCCGTTCACCACAACTACTGAGCCTGCGCTCTAGAGCCCACAAGCCACAACTACTGAGCCTATGTGCCACAACTACTGAGCCTGCGTGCCACTACTACTGAAGCCTGCGCACGTAGAGCCCGTGCACCACAACAAAGAGAAGCCACCACAATGAGAAGCCCGCGCACCGCAATGAAGTGTAGCCCCCGCTCACTGCAACTAGAGAAAGCCCGCATGCAGCAACAAAAACCCAACACAGACAAAATTAAATAAATAAATATAAATTATGGTACAGCTACACAGTGAAAGCTATTTAGAAGAATGAGGCAAAGCTATACGACTTTTAAAGACCATCTTCAAGATATGCCACTAGGGCTTCCCTGGTGGCACAGTGGTTGAGAGTCTGCCTGCCGATGCAGGGAACACAGGTTCATGCCCCAGTCTGGGAAGATCCCACATGCCGCGGAGCGGCTAGGCCCGTGAGCCATGGCCGCTGGGCCTGCGCGTCCGGAGCCTGTGCTCCTCAATGGGAGAGGCCACAACAGTGAGAGGCCCCACGTACTGCAAAAAAAAAAAAAAAAAAAAAGAAAAAAAAAAAGATATGCCACTAAGTGAGAAAAGCAAGTCAGTAAACAATATGTAGAGCATGCTCATATTTACCTAATTTTAAAAATGTAAATACGTATGCAGGTACAGGCATAAATTTTTCCCGAGAGTTGAGAAAAAGAGATTGAGAGTTGAGAAAAAGAGTTTGTTAGTGGGAAGCAGCTGCATTGCACAGGGAGATCAGCCCGGTGCTTTGTGACCACCTAGAGGGGTGGGATAGGGAGAGTGGGAGGGAGACGCAAGAGAGAGGAGATATGGGGATATATGTATAGCTGATTCACTTTGTTATAAAGCAGAAACTAACACACCACTGTAAAGCAATTATACTCCAATAAAGATGTTAAAAAATTTTTTTTAGAAAGTGTGTTTCCTTTAGATTTCATACTTTAAAAAATTATTTGATTTTTTAAAATGATTGCACTCATTAATTTAAAAACCATTATTACAAAAAAAATCTGATTGCTGTAAAAATTGAAATACTGTAGAAGTTAATGAAAGTCTCTTCTCCCCCACCTCTTAACCCCATTCCCCAGAGGACAGGTGACCTCGGTTTGGGGCCCCAGAGGACAGGTGACCTCGGAATGAGGTTAAGAGGTGGGGCCTCCCCCACCTCTTAACCCCATTCCCCAGAGCACAGGTGACCTCGGTTTGGGGCCTCTATACTCAGAGTGTGGTTTCCAGAATGGCAACATCAGGATCACCTGGGAAATTGCCAGAAATGCAGATTCTTGTGCCCCACCCCAGACTGGCTCAAACTCCACAATAGGGCCCAGTAATCTGTGTTTTCAGAAGCCTCTTTGGTGATTGTGATGCATGCTGCAAGTTGAGAATCATTAGCAGGTTAGACCAGATCTTTGGGGGACAGGTTGAGAAGAATCCTGCTGGGGGAAACAAATAACTCCGATGGCCTGTTTCCACTCACCCAGCGCACTCTAGCTCGAGGCTGGCAGCCCTTTGAGCCCACTGTGACCTTTCTGTTGGGGCTGAGTGATGACCGTACAGTCACAGTTTGGAGGCTTACCCAGAAAAGGGGGCCATGCCAGAGGGGTAAGGAAAAAGGAGTGTAGGAGAAACTAAAAAAAAAAATGAGTAGGGAAAGGAAAAATGGCAGAGAAAGAATGCAAATAAAATAATTGCATGATGTGGGGAGAAAAAAATGTAGCCTGCCATTTCAGTAAACAAAGAATGTCGCCCGCCACCAAGCCAGCAGCCGCGGCAGCCACCCCCGACAGTGCGCCCCAGGGGCATTCAGGATGGAGGAAAACAGGATAGTGGCCCTAGATAGGGAAGATGCATATCTAAGGAATAATTGCAATGAGCCCAGATTCTTGCATCTTCCCATACAGAGAAAAGCACTAAAATCATTAACTTGAGATGTCTGGTTTTTTGGTGATTAGCAGTAATTTTTCATGTTCGACCACATTTTTTTTTTCCAGCAAAAACTCCTCTATATCGCGGCTCCTCCCTTGCCTCTTTGGACCACTTCCTCAGAGCTCTCTGAGAGGCTGTCTCGGGTGCGGGCTACAGTGCTCAGTAAACTCCCCCAATAAAACAGAACTCCCAACTTTTAGACAGTGGGTTTTTCTTCGTTCAACAGATGGCAGGTAGATGGCACCAGTACCTCAGGGTCGCTCGTCTATTTAATAAGCATTTGTCATTTTTTCCATTCTAAATCTGTAACTTTTTGTTCATTTCCTCCCTCAGACCCACACATCTCATTGTTTTGTCATTTACCAACTCTGAGAGGGTCATTATTTCTGCCACCATTCAGTGTGTTCACACTTAGGGCAGTGTTTTCCGGTGATTCCCTGCTGCCTGGCTAAAAAGTCATGAGCTCTCAGAGCTGCTCCAAAGAGTCAGAATCTACCTATGGTGGTGGGGGACTGAGGAGTTTTGCCCTAGGTGGGGGTACGAGGTCGGGTAGGAGAGGAAGTGCACGTAAAAGCGCTCTGTTTACAGCAGTATCAATAATCAAGTCCACAGATGTGAAGCTCAGATCCCAGGGGATCTCACAAAGTTCCTCAGACCATGGACCCTAGTCCCACATACGGATCTGCCTCTCCTGCAGAAGAGCTCTGGTCAAGTTCCTTCAACTGGGTGGGAGTGATGGGAGACAGTGCACAAAAAAGGGAGTAGTTCTCACAGTGTTGGAGGAGGGGACATTAAACAACTGCAACTATGGACACTCAGACCAAACAAAGGTTTGAGAATTTTTGGCTTGTTTCTTCTGACAAAATAACCCAACCTTTACTCACCACCCCCAAAACATTGTTCTGTCTCCTGAAGGAGGCTGTCCCAGTCAAGGAACGAACAATTGTTTTTGTCAGGGAAAAAGGTGGTGATGGTGGTGGATTTTGCTTGTAAGGCCGCTGATATCTCTCTGTGTTCCATGTTTTCATTTGATGACATCTGCAAGAAGTTCAGGACAACAATTTGTTAAATGGGATGTTTGACTCATTGGGACACTTTGTTTTCTTTTTACTCTCATAGAATCCTAGAATTGTAAAGCTGGGGCTACCTTAGAGAGATCATGTCTGGCCCATTAATATTGCCTTGGGGAGTTTTGAGAGAAACATAATGCCCAGGCCCCACTCCATATCAACTGAATCAGAATCTCAAGGGGCGAGACCAAGGGGCATCTCTAGTTTTTAAGCCCTACAAGTGATCCCAATGTGCAGCCAGGATTGAGAAACAGCTCTAGTCACACTATGTTATTTTTGGATAAAGATATAGAAGCTCAAAGAGATGAAGTGACTCACCCAAGGTCATGCTGCCAGTAAGTGGTATCTCATACCCAACTCTTCTGACTGCCCATCCAATGTTCTTTCCATCATGCCCTTTTGTCTCTTCTTCTGGAACTTAGAGTTTCACTGAACATTAAAGTTAGGCAGTTTACAGCTGAGGGAGAAGGGAGAGAGTTGCTTCATTAAGAATTGGGGGGGGGGCAACTTCTGAGTGCTCAACTCAATTGTGGGTTCTTCAGGACATAGCTGCTGCCTAGCCTTATTGATGGTGGGGCAGTCAAATGACCTTGTTTTGCTAAAGGCAGTGCCTAATACTGTAGTGTATGTCAGTCCCTCTTAGAGGAAGTCACTTGCTCATGACTCAGTTTCACCCATGACAGAACACATTCATTGCTAAGTGTTCTCACTTTCAGGAATTAATCACATTAAGGCAAAGGACAGTGGGGGGTAGATCTTAATATTTGAGCAGGGGCGGGTGTTAGGGTGAGGAGTCACAGGTCCCACTTAAGAACCAGTAAAAGCTATGAACTTCCCCAGAAAAATACACATACAGAAACCTTGCATGTAATTTTTGGGGATTCACAGACACCCCCCGACGCCAAGTTCATCCATTGGAACCAGATTAAGATCTCCTGGACTAGACGATTTTGAAGCTCTATTTTAGTGTCGCTCAAAATGTAGTCTGGGGACCATAAGAATCAGAATTACTTGGGGTTCCTGTTAAAAAAATAAAAACAGATTCCTAGGACAGCCAAAGATCTACTGCTTCAGAATCTCTGGGGAATGAGGTTGAGGAGTCAATATGTTATTAAAAATCCCCATATAATTCTTTTGGAAACTAATATTTGAGAATCAGTGCTTTATCCCAACTTGAGATTTTTATAGCTTTTGAATGCTTTTGTTTGTTGAATATTTTAGGTTTCATCCGTCCAATTGTCAACTATACCAAGTAGTATGTTTAGTATGAATTCTAATTAAAGAATATTTACATGTGTATAGGCAGAGGAAAAACAACCTGAAGGATGGACAGATAGATAACAGTGTCTTTCTGTGTAGTAGGAATATGGATGATCTTTGTTTTCTTCCCTTTGTCCTTCTATTTTATTTCTCTCTTCCTCATTTTCTTTCTTTCTATATTTAAATAAGACTCTTCCTCTTTCTGAGTTCAGTTTCCCCATCTGAAAAACAGGGTGTTGTAGCTAGGTGAACTTCAAGGCCAAGCCCTGCTCTGGCGTTCAGTGACTCTGTATCACCCTCTATCTCCCTTGTCCTTTTAATGACATGAACTGCATGGGCATCAGTGTTTGGAGAATAATCATGTATTATTTTTGTAGGTATTACGTTGCGATGCCTAGCAACCATTTTTACTCCAGCAAAAGTATTCTCTCCTTCCTCAAGGAGTCGGAACTGAAATAATCTCTGCTATCTAGCCCCCCTGCCCCCCGAAAAAAGTTCGTTTCTCTTTAGCCTTAGAAACGGCCGTCCGCGCCCATCTCCTAGGAGCGTAAGAATGAGTGTGAACCAAAAAGCCAGGGCGTGGTCACCCCGCCCACCGGGCCATGCATCACCACCCCTCTGGCCGCCTTCAAGCGCGGTGACTGGCTGAAGGCAAGAAAGAGTCCCGCCCCTGGTCTTATGACCGGTGCTGAAGCGCCGAGTCCTGGGTTTTGCAGCGTTGTGGTCGGTGGTCAGCGGCGCCCTTCCCCCGGTTCCGCGAGGCCTTTCTCTGCTGTCGCTGCACTTGTCGCCGCAGCAGCCTGCTCTGCGGGATCATGGTGTGCTTCCGCCTCGCCCCGGTTCCGGGATCCGGGCTCCTTCTGCTCTGCCTCGTCCTGGGTGAGTTGTCGGGCCCTCCTGCTTAGTCCCTGAGCCTGGGCCCGGGGCGCCCAGTTCAGAGGCCACAACCTGAAAGACTGGTCCGGGGAGAGGGGGTTGAGAAGCTGAACGACTGACACTGGGCCTCGGCGCTTGGCCCGAGGTGACGAGCGATGACCTAGAGAAGGCCCGACCGAGGGATGGCAGGGGAGAAGGGCCCATAACGGGGCAAGTAAGGGGGGGGGGGTGGACGCCGAGGGAGTAGGTAGGGAAGAGAGAGGAGTGGAGCACATCGGGTTAGAAAGAGTAACTTGGGGGAGATACTAAGGAGTGATGAGCATAGGAGGGCGGTACGTGCAGATTCTGGGTGGCATAGACATTTAGAGTCTTGGTCCTAGTATCAGGCAAGAGTTTTGAAGATGGTGGAAAACTGTGGGGCGGGAGAGAAAACTGAGGGAGGAGACGGCCTGCGTGGAGAAAAGCTTGGGGTAAGTGGGGGGAACAGATACGAGTAGATTCTGAGGGGCAGTGAGAGGCTTGGGTGGCGGGGGGTAGGAATTTGACGCTGTGGAGGAAGGGTGATTAAAGAGGTGAAGAATGATGATGGATTGGAGTTTGGTACTTGGGGTTTTGATGGGGAAGGGATCTAAGGTGTCTGGGGCAGTTTCCAGGGGAGAAAACTTGGACCCAACCTCTGGAGACTAAAAGGGATGAGTAGGAACTTTGGTGGGGAGTGAATATCTGGCTTGGAGGTGCTGAAGACATCGTGGGTTTTTTTTTTCTTCTTCCTTTTTTTTTTTTTTACCAGTTTTGTTACTTCCTCCCAGCTAGACCCTGACAAAAATGTCCCCAGATGTTGAGGTTTTAGAGGGATGGTATATCTGAGTCTTGTATACTGCCTCTTTGCCTTCAGAAGCTCCATTTCTTCTTCCCTCTCACACAACTGGCCTATTACCTCATTTTCGGAGGAGGAGGAGGGTAGGTAATTTCCTAAGGATTGGGTTGTTACCAGGTCCTAAGAATGACTGGCTGAATGTTGGCTGATGGTGCTATGATGCACCCCACCCCCAAGCATTGGGTCCCTGAGGCCTTTTAATGCCTGAAAGGTGAACTTTGACCAGAATATCTCTTCCTGAACTGATAAATCCTCTGCTTGTTGCTACCACTGACTCTTGCTGTTTGTGACCTAATAAAAGATCAGAAGGAATAGATCCAGATGGGAGTAGATAGGAAGTAGATATATTAGGGGCTTGAGAAGGCAGTGAGAGGTGCACATTTTGTAACTCACATTTCAGTAGAATAAAATCAACACCCTGGAATGGTGGATTCTCAACCAGGGGACATTTGGCAATATCTGGAGACATTTTTGGTTGTCACAATTGGGGATTGCTTTTGGCATCTAGTGGGAAGAGGCCAGGGGTGCTTCTAAACATCCCACAATGCACAGGACAGCACTCCCCCACCCCCGACAAAGTATTATCCACCTCAAAACGTCAGTAGTGCCAAAAGATGAGAAATCTCGCTCCAGAGCCATGGCGTTGGAAGGGGTCTTGATGATCTAATCTAGTGATTCTCAAGGATCTTTCCGGGGGAGGGGGTTCTGTCAGATCAAAACTATTTCTAGAATAATATTAAGACATTTGTCTTTTTCACTTTCATCCTCTCATCAGTACAGTGGAGTTTTCCAGAGGCTATAGAATGAATGTGTGATGACATCACCACTCTCATGGGTCTGATGTGTTTTATTCACTTCTTAGTTTTAATTTCTAGTACAGCAAATACCAATAGATGTAACTCACATAAACCAAAGCTCTTTGAGGTCTTCAGTGGATAGAGTAAAGGGGTCCTGTTGCCAAAAGAGAGTCCAGCTGTACACACAGTGCGGGAAACTCTTCTGTAGCCCTTCTTGAAAGTGGGCCACAGAGGCTTTGCTCAAACACAGTTCGAAGCCTTAACTCCCCTGTGAAGTACTCAGTGAGGGCCAAGCGACCCTAAGAGAGGATTGTTTACAACGAAAATCACCTTATCACTGACTAGAACACATCTGACCAAGGCATCTGGTAATCAGTAGCTCACTGCCAATTGGATCTGCACAAACAACACTGTTATTGTTTAGAGAAAGTGAAAAAAAAAATCATTGTCTTGTTGGCTTTCATGTCATTAAATTTTCGTTTAATGAAAGCTTCTTTTTGTTTTGTTTTTACAAAAGCAGTGCTTGCTCATTGCAGAAAATAAACAGGCAAAAAGAAGCGCATAAAAGAACCCATCAGCTCATCTGATAGTTTGCCATTTATTGATTGGGACTAACTAGATTCATTCTCTTGGAAGATTTCCAAGATTGATTCCCTCCACTTTCAAGTTCAGAACAGGGTTTGGAGAAGTAAAAGTTAATAATGTAGGTAGGTCAGATTTTTCAGAGGTACCAGGATGAAATGGAAACTCCCTTTTCTCTACAGCTGCTTGTGCTCCCAGCTATTGGTTCAATGTGGAGCTCAAACTCCTTCCATGTGTTCTTTTTTTCCTTAAGAATTTAGCAATTCTTCAGTTGCTTGGTGGGTTTTGCATGTTACTTTTATATATCAAAATGGATACCAAGAATAGTTTTTTGAAAAGTCAAGAAATATTTGTAAAGTACCTGCTATGAATTTCATGCTGTTCCTGACTACTGCAGAGGGTACCAACGAAGGAGGATCTGTTCCTGAATTTATGGTCGCATTCGCTTCCAGCTGGGCCGTTTTCACTTTGTAACTTTATAACACTATCCCAGCTGCAGCAGGTAGCTTTTAAAAATAGATGCTCTAGAGTAAATATAGAAAAGAATTCTCAGAGCCTATGTATTTGTCTTTTTCACAGAGATTAAGTTATGCTGGTCTTTATTTGAATGAATTATAACTGACTAGAGACCTTTATGAAGAAAAGCTGTATAGAGGCATTACAAAGAGAGTAGTGGATGAAAAACTTTTCATAGCATCACTGCTTATGTTCCCTTTGTGACATAGATTTCAGATTTCTGTGGTTATTGATTGCTGTAACTAGTCTGACATCTGGCTTTTATAGGGTTGAGGCTTTTCTGGGTGGGAAAAAAAACCTGATATAAGTGTCCTGAGTGTGTCCTTCACTGGTAGGAGTCCCTCCTTTTCAGAGTTGTTTAAGGAATGGCTTTTGTGTACCAGCCACTAGGTGAAAGGGATAGATAGAGCAGTGGAGAAGACAGATCAGGTTCCTGCTCTCACGGAGCTTACATTTTAGTGGGGGAAGACAGCCCAACAGGTTAATAATAGAATTTCAGTGATAAGCACTGTGAAGAAAATGAGGCAGGTAATGAGGAAGAGCAGACAATAGGGAGTGGGTGGTGGGGTTGACCCTCCTTGACATTTTGTGGTCAGAAGGCCTTCACTGTTGGCTGACATTTGAGCAGAGACCTGAGTGTTGGAAGGAGGCCAGCCAGGTGACTTATTTGGAGGAATAGGAGTAAATCTTGTCTTTCCCAAACTCTTAGATTATTAGGCTAGCCTATTTCCCACTCTTTTTTTCCCCCAGTAATAGTCAAGTCTCCCCTGTGGTCTTAGTCTCTGAGAGTGGAGACTGTCTTCTGTACTGTTACTTCCCATTGCCTCCCTAGCACAGGGTCAGGTGGCACATGGTTACCTCTCAGTAAATTTTTATTGAGGGTCTTCATTGGTGGGCACTGGGGATACGACGGTGAACTAGACCAACTCAGTCTCCTTTTTCTTCTGTGAACCTTAAATTAGGTCTTGCAAGATATTTTGTGTGTGTTTTCCGTTGGAGAACTTCAAGATCAGTGCTAAGCAGTACAGATAGTAACTTATTAAACTATAATCCCATACAATAATGCTAGTATCTTACCTGTACCCCTTCACATACACCTACATAGTAGTGGAGGTTCACCTGGGGAGCTAGGAAGTCCCAGGTGAAAAGGAGAATAAGGTTTCCACAAAGAACCAATCTCTATCCTTTGGAGGTGATCAAAAAGCAAGAAAGTAAGCCCTAAGATTTTTCTGTAGCCTTACCACTGATAACTTTGATTTCAAGATTCTGCTGAAATGATTCTAGCTTTAATAAAGATACTTGAAAGGACAGGCTTATTATTCATCCATTAGTCGTTGGTTATCACATCTGATAGGATTTATAGATATTCATTCACATATTCCCCATGAGTGCAGCTTTCTTCCCCTATATCATTGAGTGGAATTTGTGATCAAGGATTATTTCACAGCATTATAGCTGACTTCAGTGCTCCATGGTGCAGGAAGACTGCTCTTTCTCCTGTAGTGACAAAAGCATTCCAATCATAATTTCAGATTAAAATGATCAGAGATCCCATCAGATCCAAGAGTGTACTTTATAAGTACTTGTTGGTATCCTGCTGTGCATTGCAAAATAATTCTGGAGGTCTGCCAAACAGCACTCAGCAATAAGCCCTTTCCATTAGTTGAATGGTGTTGAGTCTTATTTCCTTACCCACTCTCTGACCTTAAAAAATTTTTTTCATAGCTTAAAATCTATTATTACTTTTTTTTTTTAAACTTTTTTTTTTTTAATTTATTTTTTATTTTTCGTTACGTTGGGTCTTCGTTGCTGTGCACCGGCTTTCTCTAGTTGCAGCGAGCGGGGACTACTCTTTGTTGCAGTGTGCGGGCTTATTGCGGTGGCTTCTCCCGTTGTGGACCACGGGCTCTAGGCACACGGGCTCAGTAGTTGTGGCACATGGGCTTAGTTGCTCCGCGGCATGTGGGATCTTCCCAGACCAGGGCTCGAACCCCTGTCCCCTGCATTGGCAGGTGGATTCTTAAGCACTGCGCCACCAGGGAAGCCCTATTATTACTTTTATTTTTTAAGAGATTTACCAGAAATCCAGAGTATCAGAAACCGAAACGGTAATTGTACTTATATTAGGAATTGAGGAACAGTCAATTTGACTTAACAGACCTATGAGTTGAAAAGAAAGAGTAAATAGATATTGTTGCCTATGTCCTGATTTTTTTTTTTGGCTTGTTTAG